AAAAAAACACAAGCTGGCAATTCCATCCTGAATCAATCAATTCAGCAATAATAAGTCCCTCTTCCTTAATGGATCATTTTCTCAGGTAGCAAGTTTAGAATTGCAGCTTACATTAACAGAAAAGGGAGGAAAAACAAGTTGCAAAAAAAAAAAAGTGTCACGTTATAAAGTCTACGCTTCTTGAACCAGAAAAATGAAGGTCGTGGTGTTTGTTTAGAAAGGGCCCAAAGGTTAACAGCGGGAGAGCTCTTTTGAATTAAACAAATAATTTTTTGTTAGGAGGAACAAGGTCTGGGAAGAAGTGTTCCAAATGTAAGGAGCTAGTGAGGTGGTGACACCGACTAATGGTGGAAGAGAACACAGAGAAGAGGAGGGGGGGGGTCAACCTATTCTCCAAAGCACCTGAAGGCAGGATAAGAAGCAACGGATGGAAACTAATCAAGGAGAGAAGCAACCTGGAATTAAGGAGAAATTTCCTGACAGTGAGAACAATTAATCACGTGAAGTATTAATACCACTTTACAATGCCTTAGTAAGGCCACACTTGGAATACTGCATCCAGTTTTGGTCACCACGATGTAAAAAAGGATGCTGAGACTCTAGAAAGAGTACAGAGAAGAGCAACAAAGATGATTAGGGGACTGGAGGCTAAAGCATGTAAGGAACAGCTGCTGGAATTGGGTATGTCTAGTTTAATGAAGAGGAGGACGAGGGGGGACATGATAGCAGTCTCCCAGTATCTCAGGGGCTGCCACAAAGAAGAGGGAGTCAAGCTATTTTCCAAGGCGCCTGAAGGCAGGACAAGAAGCAACGGATGGAAACTAATCAAGGAGAGAAGCAACCTAGAACTAAGGAGAAACTTCCTGACAGTGAGAACAATTAACTAGTGGAACAATCTGCCTCCAGAAGTGGTGAATGCTCCAACACTGGAAGTTTTTAAGAAGAGACTGGACAGCTATTTGTCTGAAATGGCATAGGGTTTCCTGCCTGAGCAAGGGGTTGGACTAGATGACCTCCAAGGTCCCTTCCAACATCATCATCATCATCATCATCATTATTATTATTATTATTATTATTATTATTATTATTATTATTATCATCATCATCATCATCATCATCATCATCATCATCATCATCATCAGTGGAACAACCTGCCTCCCGAAGTTGTGGGTGCTCCGTCACCGGAGATGTTTAAGAATAGATTGGACAACCATTTGTCTGGAATGGTAGAGGATCTCTTACTTGAACAGGGGGATGTACATTAAACTAGAAGATCTCCCATATCCCTTCCAACTCTGTTATTCGGTTAAGAGCTAGGGGTGATGTGATGGCAGTCTTCCAGTATATGAGGGGTTGCCACAAAGAAGAAGTAGTCAAGCTATTCTCCAAAGCACCTGAAGGACAAGAAGCAACGGATGGAAATTAACCAAAGAGAGAAGCAACCTGGAACTAAGGAGAAACTTCCTAAGATTGAGAACAATTAACCAGTGGAACGACTTGCCACCAGAAATTGTGGGTGCTCCATCACTGGAAGTTTTTAAGAAGAGTCTGGACAGCCACTTGTCTGAAATGGTATAGGATCTCCTGCTTGAACAGGGGGTTGGACTAGAAGACTTCCAAGGTCCCTTCCAATTCTGTTATTCTGTTGTCCAAAAAGGACGATAGGAAAGAAGGAAGCAGCAAATGCACTTCAGTTAATCATAAATTCAGGGATTTTAGATTGTAGAATGAGGAGCTCTGATGCAACGGGTGAATCGGCGGTCATAGCAGAAGGAGCGGCAGAACTGGGGGCAACATCAAAAGAGGAATCAGCCTAGAATCTCTACGTAGCCACAAACGGGACTTCCCTTGAATTCTGTGGACCTTTATCTAACTCCAAGCCAGTGCTAACCCTTAGTTGAGAAGATTCCTGCGCATGGGCTGTTTAAGCAATAAATCAGTTTAATTGGACCTTCACATGTGCACCTGGCAGTCAATCAAGAATGATGGGACATGGGGGAGAGCGATCCGGAACATGGGTGGGGGGAATGAGAAGCAAAAGAGCAAGGTCCGTCATGCCATCAATATTATTTAGCACAGGGATGTTGGCATCCTCACAGCAGAGTATAGCAACAATTGATTGCTTGTTGTCCCCAGTGGGTGGGGAGTTCCTTCCTTCCTTCCTTCCTTCCTTCCTTCCTTCCTTCCTTCCTTCCTTCCTTCCTTCCTTCCTTCCTTCCTCCCNCCTCTCTCTGTCCATCTTCCTTTCTCTTCTTCCTCCCTCCCTCCCTCCCTCTCTTCCTTTTTTCCTTTCCTTTCTTTTTTATTTTAAATAACCAGATTGTATGAAGAAAAGAAAAGATCTCTTTGTTTTGCATTTTTCTACATTTTTATTAAATCCTGTTCGCTTTAAGAAACTGAAGGTGCAGTTAGGAAACAGCATGGCCTCAAACATTGTGTTTTCCTTGTAATTATTTGAAACAGACAGTTATTTTATCACGTTTTGTTTCCCAAAGGGACAATATTTGGAAAATGTACATTTAAAAAAAGGCCTGGGCTTTTTTGGACTGTGCAGAAATGGACAGACTTACTTTGAAAACTGAAAGTGAGAGAAGATTCAGAATACTTCAGAGCCATTTTATCAATGGCTAGAAAAACGAGGTAGAGAGAAAGGAGCTTAGCGTGTATTAGTAAGCTAAATATTGGAACCCAGACAACACGTTGCTTTTAAAATATTAAGGATTTATGATTATAAAAAAATTAATCAAATATTGTTAAAAAAAAAAAGCCTGGGCAGATATTAATGAAAAAAAAGACTTAACCACAACTGAACAATTTCCCATGAAATTGCTCATCAGATTTCTATCCAAACAGACGTGATCGGCACTCCGAAATCATGGAAGGACTAACTGGATTTCAAACTTCACCCAATGGCTTGAAGCCATTATTGCAAGGTTAAGTGTAACACCATATATAATAATAATAATAATAATAATAATAATAATAATAATAATAATAATAATAATAATAATAATAATAATAATAATAATAATAATAATAATAATAATAATAATAATAATAATAATAAAAAAGTTGGAAGGGACCTTGGAGGTTGTTGTGTCCCGTGCCTGCAGAAGCAGGCGCGGGAAGTTGCAAGAGTCCCGGGCATTTGCAGAAGCTGCCCGGGACCAGACTGACCGGCGCCGGCCTTGCGCACATGCGCAAGGCGGGAAAGGACTGCCTTGTGACTGGTGGGAATTGCCCGGGGATCGGAGAGTATATATAGAGGCTTGCGCGCCTCGGGGGTTGTCCTTGTTCGTAGAGCAGAGCAAACAATAAAGACTTGTTGGAGATGCTTCGTCTCAAGCGCCATTATTCTCCGGACTTAACAGAGGTCATCAAGTCCAACCCCCTGCTCAGGCAGGTAACCCTATACCACTTCGGACAAATGGCTGTCCAGGTTCTTCTTCTAAAAAACTTCCAGTGTTGGAGCATTCACCACTTCTGGAGGCAGGTGGTTCCACTGGCTAATTGTTCTAACTGTCAGGAAGTTTCTGTTTTGTTCTGTCCTTAGTTCATATCCTTACATGTATGTGTGGAGAACAAATAAACATTTATACCTTTAAAGATAGAAATGACAGATTCACTGCAGATATGGAAAGGAACAGAATTATAGCGTGAAAACAGGGGAAAGTGATACAGGCCAGAAGTGATATATTTCTGGGTTGAGCGTACTTCAACCCTACCGATTTTAATGGTTCAAGCACAGTTAATTCTGTACAGTCTGGCGAAGAGTAAATTGTAGCTTTTTTTTTTCTGCAATCCCAATCTTAGTTTTAGGAGTTTATTTAATAATAATAATAATAATAATAATAATAATAATAATAATAATAATAATAATAATAATAATAATAATAATAACAACAACAACAACAACAACAACAACAACAATAATAATAATATGATGATGATGATGATGATGATGATAAAGTTGGCAGGGACGTTGGAGGTCATCTAGTCCAACCTCCTGCTCAGGTAGTCCTTGACTTATAACCATCCATTTAGTGACCATCGAAGTTACAACGGCACTAAAAATGACTTATGACTTGTTTTTCACACTTAACGACTATTGCGTGATCAAAATTCAGAAACTTGGCCACTGACTCATATTTATGACGGATGCCATGTCCTGGCATCACTTGATCCCCTTTTGTGACCTTCTGACAATCAAAGTGAAGTGGGGGGAGCCAGATTCACTTCACAACCGTGTTTTACTGACTTAATAGCTGCAGTGATTCATTTCACAACTGTGGCAAGAAAGGTTGTAAAATGGGGGTAAAATTCACTAACACCTGTCTTGCTTATAAATATATCTGGAGGAATATTTGTTCGTCATATATGTGTTGTTGTTAGTTGCAAAGTCGTGTCCGACCCATCGCGACCCCATGGACAACGTTCCTCCAGGCCTTCCTGTCCTCTACCATCTTCTGGAGTCCATTGAAGCTCCCGCCTCCTGCTTCAGTGACTCCATCCAGCCACCTCATTCTCTGTCGTCCCCTTCTTCTCTTGCCCTCCATCTTTCCCAGCATTGGGCTCTTCTCCAGGGAGTCCTTCCTTCTCATTAGGTGGCCAAAGGACTTGAGTTTCAACTTCAGGATCTGGCCTTCTAAAGAGCAGTCGGGGTTGATCTCCTCTAGGACTGACCGGTTGGATCGCCTTGCAGTCCAGGGGACTCGCAGGAGTCTTCTCCAGCACCAGAGTTCAAAGGCCTCTATTCTTTGACGCTCAGCCTTTCTTATGGGCCAACTTTCACAGCCATACATTGCAACTGGGAAAACCATGGCCTTGACTATACGCACTTTTGTTGGCAGGGTGATGTCTCTGCTTTTTAGTATGCTGTCTAGATTTGCCATAGCTTTCCTCCCCAGGAGCAAGCGTCTTTTTCGTCATATATATAAGAATATAATTATTGTGTTATATAATGAATATATCTGAATGAATTCTCCTTCTGTCTCCCCTAGGTAAACTGAACAGTCAAGATTCTTACAACAATTTCACCAACAATAATCCGGGAAACCCTCGCCTGTCCCCACTCCCAAGTCTCACCGTGATGGTGCCTCTTGCTCAGATCAAACAACCCATGACTCTGGGAACCATCACGAAACGTACGGGGTAAGTGGATTGGTTTTAAGTGGTGATTTGTCTATCTCCCTTCCTTCCTTCCTTCCTTCCTTCCTTCCTTCTCTTTCTCATCTCCTTCCTTCCTTCTCTTTCTCATCTCCTTTCTTCTTTCTCTTTCCCATCTCCTTCCTTTCTTCCTTCCTTCTCTTTCTCATCTCCTTCCTTCCTTCCTTCCTTCCTTCCTTCCTTCCTTCTCATCTCCTTCCTTCCTTCTCTTTTTCTCATCTCCTTTCTTCCTTCTCTTTCTCATCTCTTTCCTTTCTTCCTTCCTTCCTTCCTTCCTTCCTTCCTTCCTTCCTTCCTTCCTTCCTTCCTTCCTTCCTTCCTTCCTTCCTTCCTTCCTTCCTTCCTTCCTTCCTTCTTCTCTCCCCAGAAAAGCCTGTTCAATATGGCCTATGATAGAGTTTTCAAAGGAATCTGAACCTTTCAATTTTTAATTATGTTTTCTCAATTTTTCATTTCCCTTACTTTTTTTTTTTTAGTTTATGTATACTTTCTTTACTCTTAGCCTGTCGTTACTTTGAAGCTTGGTATATCCTACTGAGTTATTAAAAAAAAGTAGATCTGCTTTGAATCGTTCAAAGCTTTTAAACATTCGATAACTCAGACGATTTATTCGTTTAATACTTTGCCTCTTTTTTGGGACATTTGCTTCCCCAAAGCATCTTAAAACTGGTTGGAAAAGCAATATAGGTAGTCCGTGACTTGCAACCATTCAGAGTTACAACGGCACTGAAAAATGTCACTTACGACCGTTTTTCACACAACCGTTGCAGCATCCCCAGGGTCACATGATCAAAATTCAGACACCTGGCAACTGACTCATATTTATGACGGTTGCAGTGTCCCGGGGTCACGTGATCCCCTTTTGCAACCTTCTGACAAGCAAAGTCAATGGGGAAGCCGGATTCACTTAACAACCGTGTTTTTATCTTAACAACTGCAGTGATTCACTTAACAACTATGGCAAGAAAGATCATAAAATGGGGGCAAAACTCACTTAACAACTGTCTTGCTTAGCAACATAAATTTTGGCTCCATTGTGGTCATAGGAAGAGGACTACCTCTTGGCAAGATATTGCTGAATTTCAAGCACTTGAATGACACCTTCCTGAACTATAGAAAATGAGCAATTTCAACTTCGTGTAATAATTAGTAGCTGATGAAGCCATTATTTAAGAAGTGAAATAAAATGAATCTGAACCAACTGAATCCAGGTTTTTAAAACTTCTCCAAACAAGCTAAAAGATCATTCAGAATATATTTCTCAGGAAGGCATTATCCAACAGGAGGCCACTGCAGAAAAGTTACCGTCCTTAATAATTTGAAAAATGAATAAGTCTTATTTTTGGACCTATAAACTAGTATAGTCCAAGTTCAAACTCATTAAAAAAAACCTTGTCCCCCCCCCCCCCCCGGTTTATAAAAACAAAAAGAAATTGTTGAGCAACCAAAATGTGGAAATGGGTGAAAGGTGCTTTTAATCTATATATAACCATTTGGAGTAGAGTAGAGTAGAGTAGAGTAGAGTAGAATAGAATAGAATAGAATAGAATAGAATAGAATAGAATAGAATAGAATAGAATAGAATAGAATAGAATGGAATAGAAACGAAACAGGAAGAAGAATAGAATAGAATAGAATAGAATAGAATAGAATAGAATAGAATAGAATAGAATAGAATATTTATTGAGAATAGAATAGAACAGAACAGAACAGAACAGTGGGGAAAAGAGGCAAGAAGGTGACAAGCAACAGGGAGAAAGCAGAACTATTTAACTCATTTTTTGCACAAAGGGAAAAAACAGTCCAACCTATCAAAAACAGTACCATAAAAAACACAAGTTAAGATAGGCAAGAAAATGGTGAGTGAGCACCTGTCCAGCCTAGATGAGTTCAAATCACCAGGACCAGATGGATTACACCCCAAGGTTCTCAAGGAACTGGCAGATGTGATCTCAGAACCACTGAACTATATTTTTCAAAGATCCTGGAGCACTGGGGAACTATCGGAGGACTTGAAAAGAGCTGATGTAGTTCCCATCTTCAAAAAAGGGAAAAAAATAGATCCAGAATACAATAGAGCTGGAAGAGACCTTGGAGGTCTTCTAGTCCAGCTCCCCGCTCAAGCAGGAGAACCTATACTGTCTCAGACAGGTGATTGTCTAGTCTCTTTTTAAAAATCTCCAGTCATGGGGCGCCCACGATTTCTGATGGCAAGCCGTTCCACTGGTTGATTGTCCTCACTGTTAGGAAGTTTCTCCTTAATTCCAGCTTGCTTCTCTCTTTGATCAGTTTCCAACCATTGTTTCTCGTCCTTCCCTCTGGTGCTTTGGTGAACAACCTGACCCCCTCTTCTTTGTGGCAGCCCCTCAGATACTGAAACACTGCTATCATCCCCCCCCCTCCGTTTCTTCTTTTCTTTAGACTAGCCAAACCATTTGTCCAAGGAGTCATATTTTTTAAATGTTCTTTTATTGTTTATGCCCAATACACATTGACCTTGTATTCAGCATAGCTCACAACAAATAACAGGTAGCCCTCAACTTAACAACAGTTTATTTAGTGACTGTCCGAAGTTACAACAGCATTGGAAAAAACGCGACTGGTGACCGTTTTTCACTCTTACGACCGTTGCAGCATCCCCACGGTCATGTGATCCAAATCCGGACGCTTGGCAACTGACACGTACTTACGACGGTTGCAGTGTCCCAGAGTCATGTCGTCCCCTTTTGTGACCTTTTGACAAGCAAACATCAATGGGGAAGCCAGATTCACTGCTAATTTGTTTGTCGTGCCCGTATTTTTTTTCCATTCGGGGATTCGGCTTCCTTCGTCCTTCATTTTTGCATCCTCCGTGCAAGGCCAAACCAAGCTCCGTGGGACATCTGCCCACCTCGCCCTGCTCCGTCATTCCTTGGGTTTTTGTTTTTTTTTTGGTTTTTTGCTCTTTTCCCAAAAACAGGAAAGATAAGGTGGATTAAAGGGCCTCCTTGCGTGTCAAAATGCCTGGTGTTTCCTCAAAAAAGCCACAGGACTGAAATGCCTTCGTGTCTCTATGAAGCAGCTCCAGATTTGATCACGCTTAATTTCCCTTCTCTGCTTCAGGATGCTAGTCAAGTTCAGAGCGGATTTCTTTCTTTCTTTCTTTCTTTTGGGGGGGGGGGACAATTTTTCTGGCTTTCCAAGGCTTGAATTGTTAACCTTCCGGATTTGTAAAGGAAAAAAAAAAAAAAAAGAAGTGAAAAATTCAGTTGGAAACTTATCAAGGAAAGAAGCAATCTAGAACTAAAAAGACATTTCCTTACAGTGGGAACAGTTAGAGGTAGTTCTCGGCTTACCACAGTTCATTTAGTGACGGCACTGGACATGGCCATTTTTCACGCTTAGGACCGTCGCAGCATCCCTGTGGTCATGTGATCAAAATTCAGATGCTTGGCTAATAATAATAATAATAATAATAATAATAATAATAATAATAATAATAATAATAATAATAATAATAATGTTGGAAGGGACCTTGGAGGTCATCTAGTCCAACCCCCTGCTCAAGCAGGAAACCCTATACCATTTCAGACAAATGGATGTCCAGTCTCTTCTTAAAAACTTCCAATGTTGGAGCATTCACAACTTCTGGAGGCAGGTTGTTCCACTGGTTAATTGTTCTCACTGTCAGGAAGTTTCTCCTTAGTTCTAGGTTGCTTCTCTCCTTGGTGAGTGAACTCATATTAATGACGGTTGCAGTGTCCCGGGGTCATGTGATCCCCTTTTGGGACCTTCTGAGAAGCAAAGTCAATGAGGAAGCCAGATTCACTTAACAACCGTGTTACTAACTTAACAGCTGCAGTGATTCACTTAACAACTGTGACAAGAAAGGTCGTAAAATGGGGCAAAACTCACTTAACAACTCTCTTGCTTAGCAACAGAAATGTTGGGCTCAATTGTGGTCGTACGTTTGAGGACTACCTGTAATCAGTTGAAGACCTGCCCCCAGAAGCTGTGGGTGATACAACACTGGAAGTTTTTAAGAAGAGTCTGGACAGCCATTTGTCTGAAGTGAGTTCTAGCAGTGAGTTCTAGTGCTGCCTCAGCCATGAAAAGCAGCTGGGTGACTTTGGGCCAGTCACTAGGAGACAGTGAGTTCTAGTCCCACCTTAGCCATGAATGCCAGTTTGGGCCAGCCCCTCTCTCTCAGAGTGGTGGGATTCAAATATGTGAACAACCGGTTCTCTGTGTGGATGCCCCTTCTGGAAGTCCATTCTGGGCCTGGGCAACAAAAAATTAGCTACTGGTTCTGCCGAAGTGGTGCGAACTGGCTGAATCCCACCACTGACCCAACCTACGTCACAGGATTGTTGTTGCGGTGAAAATAGAAGGAAGGTGTGTTTGACATGTTGGCTGGCTTGAGTTTTTTGTTAAAATAATAAAAGGCAGAAAGCAAACAATAACTAAATAACTAAGTAACTAAGTAAGTAAGTTTTTACTTAGCGGTAATAATAAAAATTACTAGCTTAAATATGAGACAGTAGATATTAAGAGAAAAAGAGAGGAACCAAAAAATTTGGTTACTAAATTTAAGATATTGGGAAATTACCAGAAAATAAGAATGTTATATTGCATTATTAATCAGTTGATGTGAGATGGTGAGAATTCAAATAGATAAGACGTGTATCCTGAACATTAGATCTTGTGATGCATTGTGATAAAGGGAATTGGGGTTATTTAAAACTTGGAAATTTATAAATATTAAACGTTAAATTTAAATATTAATGGGAAACTAAAAATTGGGGAAAACTAATTAGGACACCGATTGTCTAAAAAGATTGAATGTTAAAATAACTAGGATACGTATAAACTAAAAATTGTTGATAAATGTAAAAAAGTTATTTTTATTTAATAGATATAATAAGAATTGTATTAGTTTAACTAGGAGACAGTAAATACCAAGGGGAAAAGAGAGGAAATATTTAATGTAATAGTTTGAGATCTGT